AAATACTTCAATTTCAAAGTATTGATAAGAACTAAATATCTATTATAATTACTAGTAGCCGAACCAACTCTCAAATTGCAGGCTAACAATAGAAATATTGAATATAAAATAGTTGTGGATATAGGAGAAGATACATATATAAAAGAAGGGAGATGAAAAGTTTAGACGCATAGTAAGAAGATGAGAGGAACAAACATATTCTTCTTCAGCAATAGACATAAACAAAAATTCACAGACCACTAACTCTTTTAATAGAATCGCTTTTACGGCCACTACTCAGCCTAGATCCCAAATTAAACAAGCCCAATTGCTTGTCCTCGGCACAATAGATCTTTTCTGCCTAATAGTTCCTTGTGTGATATTGGGTTGTGCTTGATTTATAATAATACTGCCGTCCTGAATAAGAACCTTCTTCTCAAGGTTCGAGTCAAGAATAATGTTACTCACAAGCTCCAAACCAATTAGCTCAATACCAAGGCACGATGTATGACTTAAGAAAAATATGTGAACTAGTGCGCTTATAAACCTTGTGTGCCATATTTTTGAAGCAGTTAGCAGTAAACTAAGTGAGAGTTCCCCTGCAAACATTTCCGTAGCGAACCTCCACAAAATCATGATCTCGGTTAAATGGAAACTGTTCATTGTGTTGGCAAATTGTACTTCGCGTTGGACATGACTGTGATAATAAAACTGTGGTTCTTGTGAAAGCTCCTTAGGCCACAGCAATACTGGAATAGAAAATTTAATGGAGATTACTATAATAATATCGTTGACACGATTAAGCTCCACAACAGTTTAATAACTTGAACCATACGCAATTACACTCCATCGTAACACAGTGCGAACAAAAGATTGAGTGAAGTCATCTCCCTTATTATAATAACCCCCCTTCAAATATTTAAATATAGTGGAATCATCATGCTTTCCATCCAACAAATCTGATTTTCCCCTACATGGTACATTGTCATGCTTAGTCATTTCCACAGTATCCTTACGTCTCTGCCAAGGGCAAACCATTTGTCTAAATCGACAATTCTAGCTGAAATTTCCACAAAGTAAATCAATACAGAAAAAGAAATATAGTGAACATGCTCCCAATTGACCAGATTCAACTTGTTCCACGTAACCCCATAGCTTCTAAAAATTTGGTTGATTAACCAGTCCACCAATACATCTCCTCATGCGGAAATTCTTCTTGAAATCTCTTAGTTAGAATAAATGTAACTTACAAACTTGACAAAATGTTAGTGAATAGACTTTGTGATTGAACACAAGTTGGGTCAGTCAAGCTTGAGCGAATTGCAATGACAGTACCAAAGAAGTCAATTCCGAGAATACCGTATACAGCCTGTATGGTGCGCACGAATTCAAGAACCTTGTGTTGTCTCTTACTCTCAAGGTTTGAAGCAAGAACAATATAAGTAGCTCACTTCCCTCCAAATGTCTCGTAATAGTCACTCAAGTATTCATCTACACAATCATTTACAAACATCCCGCCATAAACTTCGTCGAACTTGTGCATCTGCAGAAAGGAAGCAACATGTGGATGCTCCTGGATCACAATAAAATGACATACATTGAAAAGCTCTTACAGTTGCATCATAGGCAAATCAAAGTCCAAGCTACCATCAGGATCCAAAAAATAGTGTATAAAAGGGAATAAGAATTCTGTGTTATCCTTTGCAAGCAGTTCTTGAGCTTTAAACAGATATGGAATGGCACAAGAAACAGTCAAAACAGTCCATGTAACAAAATGAAGTGAAGTCACGTAGATCAAGCATCTAGAGAAAATGCAGTCACTATAGTTGTTTGCTATTATGAAGATGACTAACATGTGCAATCTAGCATAATCAAGATAATATACGGCGAAACAGACCTTGCTTTATGAACTACACCAAACAGAGCAAACAAGAGTCCAGCAGATTCGTCAACCCGAATATGCGGTGACTGGTTGGAGTAACTTTCAGCTAATACCTGGAACACTTGCTGTAATTTCCCATACCTAGCATGCACTCTTGATTTACACAACAAGAATCCAGGAAGATTGCTTTCTTGTCTAGTATCACACCAATATGGAACTCACCATGGAACCACACTATATTTTTAAAAACTTCCTTTAGAGTGGGTTCACAGTTAAATCCTAAGAGTAGAAACATCCTTCAGATTGTGTATCTCCCATATTGTCCATGTTAGGGGTGATGATTTTTGTCTTTGAAAACTCCTCATTTTATTTTAAATCTTCAGATTCAACAGAGAAAAACACGCATGCATCAGTCTTAAAATATTTCCGTGGGTCAAACCAATAGTCCATACAACTACAAAATGGGATAGTCCCAATTTTTTATTCAGACACATAACAAATTTATGAGCAATCCTTCGCGTGACAGCAATAATAGGTACCTCTTGTGAAGAGGGGTGATTTGTGTGGTACCCAATTTTCGCTTAACTACTCTATAGAATAACCTAGTTCTTCTAGGTGTTCCAACTACTACTATTTGCGGAATAATAGTTACAGAAAATAAGGAACACAGAGATTTTTACGTGGAAAACACCTGGGTCAAAAGGTGAAAAAATCACGACCTACTACTCAGTAGGATTTTCCCAAACTTCCACTAAAATGAATAACCCAAAACAACATTTACAAAAATTCTTTGTAAACCTAAGGACTAACTCTATTTCCGTTGTGGCACACAACCTCAACTATTGCGACTACTTCAAGTTAACTCTAACTTGAACACTCTAGATACCTAATACAATTGCTTCTATGAAAGCTGAAAGGTACAATGTAAAATCACCTACTACAATTAAACTAGAATAAAAGATAGACACATGGAACTAGTTCTTCTATCTCGTTCAAGTAGCTTTAGGAGTGTACACTTAAATCAAACATAAATTGCTTGCAAAATCTCCTTTCTCTTTTGATCTCAACTTAAGTTTAACTTCTTCTTATGTGCAACACCTGTAAAAGAGATCAACAGTGACTTTTAATAGGTTAGTAATCAAAGTTTGACTGGGATTCAATTGCTACTCTTCTATCGTAGAAGATTTTATGATGATCTCAAACTCTAACACTATCTTCATCCTAAACTGTGTTCTCTTCATGTAAGGAGTCTTTTTCTCCTTATCCACTATGCAACCTTTTCGATCAGATCAGGAGATATCGCTGCTTGATCAGTTAGACTTATTTTCTTCACTTGCATCTCACATATACAGGTCGATCATGACTGTGCTTCACAAGATCGACCTGGTCCATGTCTGAGTTCTTTTGTCAAACTTTAAAATGTCACCTATTCTTGAGCCAACAAATTTCATCTTATTGATGATGACAAACTCTGTGCTTTTTACTTACTTGATCCTATAAGAACTCAGCTTAAACATTAACACAAAGTTTAGAAAATTCACTTATCATCAAGGACCAGGTTAATTAGGTTATAAATATCACTTATTTCAGAATGTGTAAAGCACAATATTTCTTCCCTCTTTTGGCATCATCGAAAAGTTGCATACAAAGTGTCAGTCCCAGATTTTAATAAGTACTCATGGCCACTGGGGCAACTGCAAGTGTAATAATGGTTTAATCATCAGTAATCAAGCAAACATATTTAAACTATCAAAGAAAGATTAACAATGAACAAGAGCAAAAAATAGTACATATCATTGATAGAGATATGTGGCTACCACAATCCACAACCAGAAAGCAAACAACATTTAAAACATGAGCAAAAAGATATAAAAATCCCTAATCTAGGTCACTGAAGGAACTTGATAGATTCAGGAGACAAAAGCTAGGATTCCTAATGCTTGGAGGAGCTTGAGGGCTGGTTTTGGGCTTGGAGAAGATTCAGCATATTATGAAGAATTCCATCATTCTTCGCCTTTTCTTTGGTAAGTTCAGTTCTGAGAGCATCCCTCTCAGATTTCACCTCTTCCACACGAGCCTTGAGCCTAGCTACCTCAATATCCTTGGCTTCACATTCCTGAACTAGAGCCCTAACTTTGTTGTTGATAAGAGTCTTCTTCAATGAACCTGGTTCATTGGGGATGGCACTGACTAAGTAGTTACAAGCAATCAGAGTTTTAATACCAACATGATCCTTCCTTGAGGCCATTTCCCATTTCTTCAGAGGCACATTGAACCTATCCAGAATTGTGATCAGAATAAAACCATAGGGTGTAGCATGAGCCTTGGAGCCATTTATGAACCTGTCCAGCAGCTTGATGATGAAGGCAGGCCAATTAATTTGCCTTACACTTTCTAGGCACTCCATAAGAACTAGGTTCATATAATTTGCACTGTGCCTTCTCTAATGTCTGGGCAATAGGTATTTATTACCAAATTCAAACAAGAACTTGTGCTGAGGCCTCATTTCACTTTTCTGAACAGCCCTGACTTTATTCACATCCTCAGCATCACAAAACCTCCTGGTAATTTGAACGGCAATAGGAAGGGAGTCCAGACAAGGCCATCTTTGCCTCGTATAATCATCAAACCTTTCGTAGGGTATATCAAGGATTTCTCCTAGTTTTTATGCATCAAAGGACACTTGAACTCCTTTCACCAGGCTGCAAACCTTGCCATCCTTAACCTCTTCATTTGCCATAAACTCAATTATCTCATTCCTGCTAGCCTACCATCCATATGAAGGACCATGTCCTTCAACCCCTGATCATCTAAGGCATCCACCAGCCTTATCATTCCTAGCTCCACTAGGTCTTTCAACAATCTACCCTTCAAGATCTTTCTTTTGCCAAACATGTCAAGCTTGTCCTGTTCACCATCAGAGTCATCATCTATTCTTCTCCACTCCATTCCTCATCTACAGAAATTTTCACTTGTTTTCCTTTCACATCAAACCTTGTCCTCTTGGCTAGTGAAAGTTCAGCAGCCTCAGACACAGAGGAAGACTTCTTGGAAGAAGTCTTGGGTTTTTTGGGCTTGGGAGTCTGAACCTCAACTGGTTGAACTTCCTCCTGATGGACCTGTTCCATCTCCTCAACCTCTACAACCTCTGAGGATTCTGTAACCTTCCCTTTTCCTTAGCCAGCTTTTTCTTTTTACCCTCAGCTAGAGCCTTTTGAAGATCCCTCTCACTCTGCTTCACTCTGCTTCTTGTTGTTGGGGATGATGCCTTTCTTTTCTTGGAGTGTTTAGGAACACTATGGGCTTTTCTTGTGGGAGTTCTTTGTTTCTTTGGATCATAGCTTGCCCCAACCTTTTTCAGCAGGTCTGCTAGGGTTTCTTTAGTAGATGAACTAGATTCATCTCTTTATGTGCTTAGATGAACTAACCCTTCAGCAGCTTCACTAGAACAACTTCCCCCTTACTTCTGGCCACTCTCGTCTACATTTTCTTGTTCAATCCCACAGATAAAAGGCACATGCAAATCAGCAGTGGGTGAATGATCAACCACTTTTTTCCCATTTCCCCTCTCTCTCTTTTAAATTTTTAGTTTTCTTTTTACCTCCACTCCTTCGTAACTTAGGTAATTCTACATCCTTAATAGGCCCAGCCAAAACAAACCTAGTTTCTAGATTTTCAGACAAAGAGGAACTTACCTTAGAAGGGGATTCTTGATCCTTTTCGGAGTCAGAAGACCTAGGTCCTTCCCCCTCACTAGCAGATTTGTATGACTCAGAATCAGAGTTGGAGTCAGAGTCTTGGGTCTGGCTTGCCTTTAATTTCTCATTTAATTTCTTCCTAAAAGCCCCAGACCCTATTGTTTTCCGACCAAGCATTTTCACCCTTCTCAGCCTGGGTTTGGGAGATGTACTATGTGGAGGAGGGGTAGATGAATCAGAGGGAGTGGGTTGTGGAGGAGTTCCAGGATTTTCTTGTGGGTTGGTCATGATCGTTGGTTTCTTGAGAGAATTTGTGAGTTAGAATTTTTGAAAAGATGGCAAGTGAAAGTGAAGAGGAATTTTTGATGGTTTGTAATTATGGAGATGGTAGAAGGAATGATGTGTATTTAAAGAGAAATACATATTTAATGGGTAACATCACCTTTAGCAGTGGTCAATTAGAGGTCTAATCAACCTGAAATTTCAGGTTTGAATGATCGTTTTATCTTTTCTAGATTTTAGGCAATTTTTTCGGTTTAGAGTTCTAGGCAGACGAAATTGGTTCAAAGCTAACAGATAGAATTTTCTAGGAATTGAACAATTGTACGACTTCTGCTCATAATTTAAATAATTATATTCTAATTGTGCAGAATATAGAAAACATACCTTAGCTTTCAGATGAACCCATACTGATGAACAAGGTTCTTCATTTAGAATTCTCTTGAACATGCCTCAATTTACCATAACAGAAAAAAATTTGTAAGAGATTAGTGAGTCATATTAAAACATGTCACAGAAGTATACTAATTAAAGTATGAAGCTAAGTAAGAATTAATCTAGATATTTACACAAGTTCAGAGTTCCTAGCACATTTATTTTTCATTTTTTTTCATTGTGCATTTTGAGCTGGACCTATTAGGTGATCTTAATCATCCCTATTCCAACATGTTCCTCTCAAAGTTTTCTCTACTCAGCGCTTTAGTGAATATGTTAGCAATTTGTTTATCAGTAGCACGGAATTCTATGGAGATCAATCCTTTCTCATAGTTATCTCTTAAGTAGTGGTGTCTAACATCTATGTACTTAGTCCTCTTATGGTGAACAGGATCCTTTGTCATACTTGTAGCACTAGTGTTATCACAGAATATAGGAACACAACCAACTTCAATGCCAAAATCTACCAGTTGTTGTTTGATCCATAGCAATTGAGCACAACAAGAGGCAACATCAACATATTCAGCCTCAGCAGTGGATAAATCCACTGGATTTTGCTTTTTAGTGGCCCATGATACAAGACATGAACCAAGAAAATGAGACATACCTAAGGTACTTTTCCTATCCACAAGGAAACCTGAATAATCAGCATCATCATACCCAACTAGATTGAAATTACTACCTTTAGGGTACCAAAAACACATATCAGTAGTGCCTTTCAAATATCTCAGTATCCTCTTGACAGTAGTCAAGTGAGATTCTTTTGGATTAGCCTAAAAGTGAGAACAAAGCCCTACACTGAAAAATATGTCAGGTCTGCTGGCAGTAAAATACAAAACTGAACCAATCATACCCCTATTCAACTTCTGATCAACAGATGAACCAGGTTCATCTATGTCTAATTTAGTGGAAGTTGCAATGGGGGTGTCTATTTCCTTTGATTCATCCATTTTAAACTTTTTCATCAGCTCCTTTGCATGTTTCTGTTGATAGATCATGGTTCCATTTGGGCTTTGTTTGATCTGTAAGCTTAAGAAAACGTTAAGCTCACCCATCATACTCATTTCAAACTCACTCCCCATTAATTTGGCAAAATCCTTACTTAGTTTATTAGTGGTGGACCCAAAGATTATGTCATCAACATATATTTGTACCACAAAAAGATCATTACCTTTTTCCCTCAAGAATAGAGTATTGTCAATTTTACCTTTTTTGTAGCCATGTTCAAGCTGGAATTTGGACAATTGTTCATACCATGCTCTAGGATCCTGCTTGAGTCCATAAAGAGCCTTGTCTAATTTGTACATATGCTAAGGACATTCCTTACTCTCAAACCCTAAAGGTTGTTTCACAAACACTTCTTCTTTTAGGTAGCCATTCAGGAAGGCACTTTTGACATCCATCTGATGAAGAGTGAATTCCATGTGTGATGCAAAAGCTATGAGGAATCTTATTGGCTCTAGTCTTGCAACTGGAGCAAAAGTCTCATCAAAATCTATACCCTTCTCTTGGCTGTAACCTAGGACCACCAGTCTTGCCTTGTTTCTGGTAACTGTTCCATCTTCATCAAGTTTGTTTCTGAAGACCTATTTTGTGTCAATAACTGATCTGTCCTTGAGTCTTGGAACTAGATGCTAAACTTGACTTCTCTCAAACTGATTGAGTTCAACTTGCATTGCATTTACCCAATCTCCATCCTGCAAAGCCTCAACAACATTTTTAGGTTCAATAAGAGATAGGAAAGCATCAAAAGTACACAAATTCTTTAATTGTAATCTAGTTTTGACTCTAGAGGTTGAATCAGTAATTATGTTCTCAATAGGATGAGAACATTTATACTTGTGAGGTTTCACAACCAACTAATTTCTGCTAGATGTTTCTCCCATGTTCTGTTGCTGAGGAACATGGTCATGAATAGGTTTCTTTAGGGGATCGTCACAACCCAAAATCCCAACCCAGTCGTGATGGCGCCTCTCGTGAGGACAAGGCCAGCCAATCAACAAAACATTACATCTCTTTATAATTACTTAGCAGGAATAAGTCTAAATCATGGGCAATATAATCTTAAATGCGAAATAAACGTGATAGAACAAGNCCCAATCATAGTGAAAAACAATAAATCTTTATCAATTACGCGGTAAAAATATCAACTGGGATGGACCAAGTCACAATCCCCAATAGTAAATGACCCCGCGCTCGTCATACAACGCGTGTCTCATCTCAACATAGCAGTATGTTGTGCAATCCAGGGTTTCAAACCCTCAGTGCATCATTTAAAATCATTACTCACTTCAAGACGGTCCAATGTCTACTCCGCTATGCCCTTGCCTCTCGAATTTACCTCTTCGCGCGTCGAATCTGGTCAAAACCATAATGAATACATTACAATAGGCTAACGGAATATAACCCAATCAAAAAGACTGNCCTGTATCTGCACACATGGTGCAGAGAGTAATGTGAGTACTCCGACCCAGTGAGTAATAAAAATTAATAACAACTGAAAACATGAAATCTCATAACGGCACGATATAGCGTTATCCCAANTCTCGCCACGAGTCCGTACATATAAAATTTACCAAAATCGGAGTTCAAATGACCCCTCAAATCTTCAAATCTTATTTTCAAATCCCTAGGCCTAAATCTCCAATTTACTCCTCAAAAACATGTAATCTGGTCGGATTATTCGATGATAATTCAATATTATGGAGTAGAAATAATCACAACTAACTTACCTCAAGATTTCCCAAGATTTCTTGCTAAAAATCGCCCAAAATCCGAACTTGGAAGTCAAAAAAAATGACCAAACTCGGACTGCTGGACATTAAATCTGTCCAGAAATTTTCGGTACTGTTCACGCGCGTGAGGTCACTATTCACTATTCACCTGCGCGGTTACTATTCACGCGCGGGTACTGTTCATTGCTGCAGAAAATACAGCAGCTTTTAAGAAATTTGCAACACAGCCATTTTTCACTAAAATGGCTCTAACTTCATCATACGAGCTCGGAATTAGACAATTCTTATTCCTATGAGTCAAAAATAATAATACGAACACAACCCTTCAATCGAAACTCAATTCGGAGCTCGTTTTCCCAGTTTAATATCCATTTCGCTCGTTAAACAATTAACTCACATTTCACGTCAAAAACTCAATCGCGACTGGATGAAATTAAACCAAAATTTATAGATCAGTCCTATAATTCATGATTTAAATTCTGGAAGTCTCGAAATCAAATTTGGATTTCTAGAACTAAAAATGAACCTTTAGATCATTACATGCTTATGCTCAAAACGGTAAAAATCTTCCAAAAACTCTTTCAAAACTTATCCGAGCCTCATGGGATCCCAACGAAATAAACTAACAAGTCCCATAATATGACACAAATTTAGTTGTTCCTTCAAATCACAAAAAACAACGCAAAAATACTAAATTCACCTCGGATTCAAGCCTATGAACTTTGAAACCTCTAACTTTCACATCCGATACCGAAACACGTCAAAAATAGTCCGAATGACCTCAAATTTTGCAGACAAGTACAAAATGACATAACGAAGCTACCGCAACTCTCGAAATTCCATTCCGACCCTCGGATCAAAATCTCACCTATCAACCGGAAATCGCCAAAATACTAACTTCGCCAATTCAAGCTTAATTCTACACTAGTCATCACAAAAATATTTCGGACACACTCCTAAGTCCCAAATCACCTAACGAAGCTATTCGAACCATACAATTTGCATTTCGAGTGCTCTAACACATAAGTCAATATCCGGTTGACTTTTCCAACTTAAGCTTCCTTAAAAGAGACTAAGTGTCTCAAACCTTACCAAAATCATTCCGGAATGACTTCAAATTTTTCACACAAGTCACATTCGACATTACGGACTTGCCCCATCTTTCGGAACTACATTCTGACCCCGATATCAAAATTTCCACTTCCGGTCGAATTTTCTCAAAAGCCTTCAAATTTCTATATTTAACCAAATGACCTCCGGACATCCGAATTCACTTCCGATCGTGCTCCCAACTCCAGAATCACCATACGGAGCTATTCCCAGACTCGGAATCCCAAACGGACATCTATAACACTGAAATGCCTTCCAACCCAAATTTATGCAATTCTTCTAAAATACTAACTTTCACAATATACGCCGAAATGCTCACGGGTTATCCAAAACCAAATCCGGGCGTACGCCCAATTCCGAAATCATCATACGAACATGTTGGAACTTTTAGATCCCAATTCCGAGGTCGTTTACTCAAAATTCCAATCTTAGCCATTTTCTTCAACTTAAGGTTGCCGCAATGAAAAGTTTCTTTCCAATTTGACTCCGAATTTTCCGAAATTCAACTCTGACCATACGTACAAGTCAATATACCTGAAATGAAGTTGTTCATGACTTCCAACTGCTGAACGACACGCTAGAGCTCAAAACGACCAGCCGGGTCATTACATTCTCCCCCACTTAAATAGACGTTCGTCCTCGAACGTTCCAAGAACTGCTCTTAAGTTATCAGAAATCACTATTTAACACCTCATGCACCTACCCGTGCTACAACAACTCATATGGACA